AATAAAGGGGCCGAGGGACAAGACGTGGAAAAGGCGGAAACGACACAAAACGGTCGAAGTACTCTCGACAGCAACCATTTCCGCATTACCCGCATACAACCCCGCGTTGCCCCAACCTCCTCTCGCGAAACACCAACCGCCACCAGCAGCCACCGACGAAACAGTTGCGCAACACAAAGATATTTGAGATAGGTCGCACATTTGCGAAGCTGAATTTAATTTTTCAAACTTTTCTCATTCTTTATTGTCATGTACAATAACAATTTCCATGTACATATTAATATCAAAGCAAATGTTGACGTAGTATTTTTTAAGAAAAAGTACATATTAACATATGATGTAATATAATGTCTACAGCAAAATCCATATATATTCAGATTTTCAACTCGTTTTATAACGACAGCAAGACCTCAATTAACGCTAATTCGATATGAACAGCAATAGTTTGGTGTGAAGAATCTAGGCAGATTCGTGTCATGGAGCGTCATAACTTGATTACGATGTGCGAATACGATCAACATGCAGAAAGTTGTATTATTCCAAACGTCCAATATATCTTGGACACCGGCAAAACTGGTCGTATCGCAGTGATGAAATTCTCTATTGTATATTTCGTGTATATTATTGCAACTCGAAGATTTTGTTGAAGATCATTTAGAAGGATGTCGTAGAAGATGGTGAACGACATTATGAATGGTAGATGGAGATGATAGGAATGGGATAGGAAATGGAAGAGTGGTGAAAGATGAACCTTAGGCGATGAGGGCTCAAAGAAATGAGTAAATGGTGTAAAAGGAATATGTTTTCCTGTCTTCAACTTTTATAGTGGAGTTATCACTTTCCCCCTCTGGTAAGGGTTTCAAAAAAAGAACAGATTAACCTGGACCTTTATCACCGGATGTACTTTTACTAAAGAAAATTCTTATATTCGATGGGCACTTGAAGCCTAGTTTAAGAAAAAATGCTTTAAATTTTCCTATTCACTATATTTTAATGTGACTTCGTTTAACGAAGTTTTAGCTCTTGTTGTCTAGGAATATTAGGATACAAATAAGGTCTTACTGTAATTTATTATTTCTAGAAAAAAATTAACATAAATCGATTAATCATTATTTAATTTTCTTAACAATACATATATTTTTAACTATTACTATTTTATACTTATAAATTACAAAAAATGCTTTATAACTTAATATAGATACGATAATGTCGATCACTTGAGTATTGATTTATATGCAATACACACACTAACTCTTATAATCAAATGTCTTTCATATATATATATATTTCATATATCTGACACTTTTACTTTATTACACTTTGAATTTAGTGATGAGGCTCAAAATCCATTTGTCTTACTCTTATTCGTCTATTCCAGACTTAATCAATGTTCTTATCGTATTCAACATACTAGAAACGATCTAATCTAGAAGTATACTCTAATATGAATTTAAACCTTTATGATGTATGGCAGTATGAAGTATGACATAAAGAAATCCTGATTGATTTTTCTGTATCTCATTTTTTTCATCTAGTTTCTACTTAGTCAATCTTATAATTCATTATATGAATGGTCTAAGTCATTAGTTTACTGTAATATATCATAAATGTTACGTAGTAAGAAAATTAGAAGAAGAAAAAAGGAATGCATGATATATGTTTCAATTTTGCGAGTCTATGTGGTTTAGATTACAGTTTTGTATGGAGGTGCAATTTGTATTCGAACGTTCAGCGACGACGGTGTGTGTAAACGTGAATTGTGCATGCATCGATGCCACCCGAAATCCGGAAGTAATATATTACTACACTTTGCGCTAGATTCCGCACCGAGATTTATATTCAGATGTGCATCGTGCGGTTGGTCATGATAAAAATACATGCATTTTTCAAACCTGAGAATTCGATTAGATGAAACATAGCGGGCGTTCAATGAAGCCTGGATGTTGGAATCTGAATAAGAGTACGTAGGATGTACGCTACTAGTGAGAAAGAGATAGAGAGAGTGATGATGATAAAAAGGAGGAGGAGGATAAACTACATTCGATTCATTCAATAACTTTAAGAGGATTCACCTAGATCTAAAGCCGTTATCGTCTCTGCATATTTTTCGACCATCATTTCTTTACGTATTCTGCCAGTTAAGAACGGAGAAGTTTGAAAGAAATTGTCCCTCAGACATAATACGGGCGTCGGAGCGTAAGCACGCCAAACGCTTTAAGCTTTTGTTCTTAAAGAATGTTTTATTGCCCGAGAAATTGCTATAAAGTATTGCAGCTACATAGCAAATTTAACTGCCGAGGCTTTTATACAAGTTACTCTTGTCTCTCTAAATGGTGGATGCGCCGGGACATTTATATACAATATACACCCATACAACTGTGTAGCTTTATTCAACTATTATAGTAGTATATTTTAATCATATAAAAAATGAAATAACTATAAATGTTCAGAATATTACATCATTATTTATTTTTTGTTGACTTTCAAGTAAAAAAATAAACTAAAAGTAATAAAATTTATTATGATTAAGTTAATATTTTATTAATTTTAGTAAATAAATTAAATAAATAATTGAATAATTGAAGAAAATTAAGGATTTCTTGCATATTTAATTTGGATTTTTTTAACAATAGTTAAGACAATTGAATTAGAAAAAATATGAAAATATCTTAATTTATCTTTAAAAATGAATAAACTCAAACCTACTTTTCTGTTTTTTACTGTATTTTACAAGGATTACATATTACACGAATTCTTTATTCGAATAGTTTTTTTTATACACAAATAGAATAATGGAACCAAATTATTTTTACTTATTTTTTTAGGGCGACTAATATCCGAATGGTTAAATCGCCCTACCCACGATTCCGTGGGCGCCGGTTCGAATCCTGGTCAAGCCATGCCCTTTGTAAGCACTCTCGGTGTTCACAGTTATGTCTACCGTCAATAGATTTAATTAACATTCTCAGGAATAAATTAAATAAAATCATTGTTTTTATGATAGATTCTTTTTAACTTCTTCTTTTTTTTAACTGCTACAATTAATTATTTTTTCCTTTTATAAATAATATAAATAATTACACTCCACAAATATCATTTATTTATATCAGAATTAATTTCTTAACATTAATTATATTCTTTGGGAAAAAAGACTTTTATTTAATTAATTTCTTTTATTCTTCTCCTTTTTATTGTTTGCAAAATAATATAATAATGCTAGAAGTCGTGGATGAAATAAAACTGAATGAAATTACATTGCGTTAAATGTAGAAGCAGAAAATTAATTTTGATTCGACGTAAGCAACCGTTGTCATGGCGATGTGAAATATGCTTTTAGTTCACACATTCATAGTCAAATAAATCGTTAAGAATAATATATGATATTTGATAACTGTTACGGTTACACACAAAGTTGTCAAACACAATATCGCAGTGTAAATATTAACAATACAATTCTGAAATGACAGCTAATGACACTCGTAAATTATTACTGTGCTTGAATAATAGTTTCATTGTTTCATTATATAACAATTTATATGTTATAATTTAGACTATAGCGTTACTCTACATATGGAACACGGGTCTATATCGCAAGTCCGACAAACGAAATACCGTCTATCGAAATCCCGATTGTATCAGAATCTCGACAACCATAATCCCGACTATATCGAAAATTTCTACAATAACATTTTTAAATTATTTCGGAGCGTAGTCACCTTGTACAACATTTTTATTATTAATAACAATAAATTATTATTAATTTATTTGATTTTGTTGAATTATTCATAATAAACTTTAATATTATGAAATAATCTCAAATACAATTAGATTATTAATTGTTGTTATTTATTATTAATAACAATTTAAAAGTGAATACGCTCCGGAATAATTCAAAAATGTTATTGAAGACATTTTCGATATAGTCCGGATTTTGATACAGTCGGTATTATGGTTGTCGGGATTTTAATAGAATCGGGATTTTGCTATAGTCGGGACTATGGTTGTCGGGATTTCGATACAGTCGGGATTTCTAACGTCGGGAATTTGATTGACGGTATTTCGGTTGTCGGTTGCGATTGCCACCAATCAAAATTGTTAAGTAAAATTTTTAATGGGTCCCAAAATGACAGCTGCCTCTTTGTGTCAAAGCGAAAAACTGGTACTTTCCCTTTTTTAAATTTTCTTATAATATTGCAACAGTCATGCAAACAAATAAAAACAATCAAAACATATTTCCTAATAATTAAACAAAAAAGATCAACTGGTTATTGACTATAAGTCGTACTGCAACTAAAACAATGTAAGTTGGGTCACGTGGCAAAACAGGATGAGAGACGCTGGTGTAAATCAATGAAACTGTTCAAAACAAAAAGTGAAACAAACTTAATTTAAAAAAAATAAATTAAATATGTTAAATAATCAATAATTATCAATATTTTTAAATAAAATAACCTCCAGAAAATTAATTGCTGCGGTTTCATAATAAGCTAATAAAGGTTTTTAAAATCACAAGGATTAATAAATTAGAGAGAAATAAATCCAATACAGAAATTTAATTATGATAGATTTACAATAAGCAAATATTGATTCTTTTGTTGGTTAAATATCAATTGAACTGTAAACCTGTGCCCTACTGCAGAGTTTAAATATGATATTGAACATGATTCTATACTCCCCAAAGTAAATATTTGTTACGGAAGGAAATATCTCGAATAAATGTAGAATAAATAATGCATGAATTATCGATTCGCAGTTCAAACAAAATAATATTCATAACATTATTTGTTTATATTTTTTCCATGCATATTTCTTATGAAGCAAATACAAGTATTTACTTCATTAAAAATTATATTTCAATTTAGTTTAATAATTAATATTTATTGCTACACTTTGTATAAATAAGTAAAAGAAAAAAACATAGGTATCTTCACTCAAGTTCTTTTTATATGTGTTTTATACCAAATCATTATAATATTGTTATTTTCAGGACTTTACAAAATTGTGGATTAACTCAGGTCCCATCCAAAGCCATTTATCCACTGAAGAAACTACACGCACTGTAAGTAAACAATCTTTGTACATTGCCTTTTGATATTTCTTAATGGTTATTTTGATATATTTTTTTTATAGATTTGTCTTAACATATATTTTTTATTTGAAATATTATTTAAATCTGCAAGAAAATAGAAAATTGTATCAATTTTATTAATGCCTTTACGCCAAATTAGTATAAAATTGAAATATTAAATTTTGCAAATTCTAAATTGGTTTGAGTCTTGCTAAAGATTGGGCACAACTGTTCTATATAATCAGTAATTAATAAATACTACATCACTTTCAATATATGAATTTGTTTAAAAACGAATTCATCCATTATTTTGAACATCATAAAAATCAATAACATAAAATATTTTTTTAAATTTAATAATAAATTCAAATAAAAGTTGACAGTATTTTTCTTCATGTTTATAATTTTCTAGAATGTTAATGATAGTTGTAAATATTTATTCAAATCAGAAAATGCATTTTTTTGGGTTATTAGAAAGTGCAGACAAGCAAGAAAATTATTGATCGCGTTATTGTTGTGATTGCAAATGAAGCAGGTTATATAAATGTTATTGTTGTGCAATTGGATTGGATTTAAGAAAGAGGCGAATGCAAGATTGATCGGTGTGCTTCATTAAATTCGTGAAAGGCGCCGATCAAAAACTAATTGCGAACAAGAAATCGCAACATAAAATTATACATTGCAAAGGAGGATCGAGCACGCACGAAACTCGGAAATTTACATCTCTCTTTCGCCTCTTTTTGATTACCATTATTACATTTTCGTGGAAGGTAATGCAAATCGATTCCAGCAGTGTCGAGTAGTAGTAGTAGTAGTTTTCATATTTATACCAGATAAATCACCGTTCCAACTCCCCCTTTTCGCCCTTTTTCGGGCCTGTTTACGTGCGGCAAGGACGAAATGTTTCCGTCCCATTCGAGAGGGTTTCGCATATATTTTATTCGCTCGTCCTTTAATCGGCGACTGCCTCTATTGATTTCACATACAATTATTTATATTTATGCGTTGCTGATGTGTGGCCTTTTTTTCTACTCTCTCTTTCATCCTCTACATATCATTGCGATCCATTTGCACTGGCCTCGTTTATTTTTTTATTTGGTACTGTCTTTTCATCTGTCTTTCCCTCTTTTTTTTTAAACCGTTTATTTCTGTTCCTTCCACTTTATTTTACTTTTATTTTTTCTGTTAACTATGTAAAAGTGAGCTGTAAATGTTATTGGGTTAGGCAGCTGGGCCAAAACGAGATCTGGAGTATGGATGGAGATAGCCTCCGGCAAGTGCGCTTGCTGAGAAGCTTGAGGCTGGACGGGAACCGTCTGGACGCCGTCCCGACGGACGCACTGGAGCCTTTGGATCTCCTAGAGGTCCTGTGAGTACCGGGACCAAAAGAAACAACAACAACAACAAAAAAAATGAAATATAAAACGAAAAAAATATACAGAAAACTACACGAAAAGATGATCATACCCTTCTATATACTTAGTTTCGCTTTCTAACACTGTACACACATTACACGCACACACATGAATACCCAAAGTTGAAAACAAACTTCCAGAAGTGATCTTTAAGCTGAAATTAATTTGCCCGGGACAAAACATGAAATTTATGCGGAGGAAGGAAGGAGATTAATTTACCCTAATCGCGAGGTCCTATTAAATTTGCATGAATTTCGCTTTTTCACCGGATTAATTCCTGCTCAAATAATTTTGCCCTCGCACGTTTTGTCTACTAATGGAAGTTTGTTACGCAATTGCCACTCGAACACTTCTATAGTTTAACATTAACAACAAAACACAAGAAACAATCAAAGAACTACTTTATTTAGTCTCAATTATTTTTAGTTTTGTGCTTTACATTTATTGGACTTTAACAGTGGAAAAAATAAAGATATAAATGTTTTAACACACGCAGCTTCTACTACATAATACTTCTCTTAGTTGAAGCTGAACATACAAAATAAGTACAATGGTGACGCGGAATTGGCAACGAAATTGGAAGGAGATAAATGTTATGAAATTCGCTCAAAATTCCTTCTACGAAGGGCTACGAACTTGATTGTATTTATTTGACCTTGAATGTGATACATATTACCAAAATTACAGGAATTTGTTTTGCTAATGGGTTATTGCACATCTTTTTACAGGAACCTAGGAAACAACTTGATTACCTCGATCCTGGTAAACGCTTTCCCCCAAATGGAAAACTTGGAGATTCTGTAAGTAACGTTTGTTTTTGACAAAATTTGTGAAATTTGTAAAACCTGATTTTATTTATTACAGTTTTTATTTTTTATTTTACAATTTTCTGCCATATCATTTTATCATTTTATCTATTTTATTTTAATTAATTAGAATGTTTTCCATTTTTTTAATACATGATTTTGAAAATTCTTTTACTTTTCCAAAATTAGTTTTTTTTATAAAACTCTAACTGTGTAGTAGTAATTTGTTCGTAATTCTATACTTTTATTAATATCAAACTGCGAATTTATAATTAAACTTCCGTTGAAATGTGTCGGGGGTCTCTGCTTCTGGCTGCGCAGAAGTTTATCCATGTTATATGGATAATTCGTTGAAAGTTCGGTGTGCCGACCCAACGCGAAATCGCTTTTTAATCCCCGGGGAAATTTAATTGCCGAATTAAAACGCACCGCTCTGATGAAGTTTAATTAATAATCGCCTCGAAAGAGATCAATGCTTAACTTATGTTGATGATGTTGCACGTTCAGGTTTACATATAAAAAATGGAGAAAACCCTATGACCTAAAATTTTCAGGAAGTAAATTGAACGACAATTTACGACCTTTACGTGTCCTGCGATTTCCCTGGACCCTTACATTATATTTCATAAATGAAACTTGCCAAACGGGCAATGAGCACGTCTTAATGTCAACGAATTTTTGGTGTTAATGCGATCGTTAAGTTTCCTTTCAACCCCCTTAATTCATTTGGGGATTAGGGCAATGCAAAGAAAATTAAGGGCGAAACGCGAAATATCTACAACCTATTATCCCTAATCAACGTGAGAATGAGCGCCTGAAACGCGAATCAAATGTGGGCAAGTGAATAAATTCAATTATTCCAGATGCTATCCAAGTAAAAATGACCCTCATTAACACGTAAAGTGTGAACAGTCCTAACTATAAATTGTTTTATCATTACTTAATAATCTCAATTTATGTGGTTTCGTGTGCGACTCGACTCTCGCACATAAACTAGTTCCTTTTTACTCGCAATCTTACTTCTCGCAACGATTTTATCTCATTTGTAGTGTCATTCATATTTCAAGAATCTTGAAATTCACTGTCTAGAATAATGAGACAGTTCGCTAATTATATACAATAAAAGTTATTTCATTTTCCACCAAGATACTCCGCTTCAAATAAAACTAATTCTCTACAGTAATAATCAAAATCTAATGACCATTTTTTTATTAGTAATATCAGAAATAAAATGCAAATCATAACACCAAATTGAAGAACCTCATATAAAATTATAAATTTTCATGAAAGTAATGTTACATTAATATAAATTAGCGAATACAGCAATACCTCGCATAGTGCGGGTTATTGGATTCCCAGACATGATGTTTGGAATTGGACAAAAATAATACATAAAACTATTTTTTTTTTAATTTATTTTTATTTAGCTCAATTAAAATTTAAAGCCCTACTGTAATAGGTATTGCTATATAAATATTCTATATTTCATAGTTTAATTGACATTTATATAGAAGATCTGTATTGAGTGAATGAAATACAAATTTCATGCCGTGACAACTTGCCACTGATCTTGGATAGTTAACAACTTCATAAATGTTATTTCAGGTCTGCTAATTGGCAGTTCTATTTTCAAACAGTTGTAAATTACAAACTCATTTTATATCGAAAATCTACAAACATATATAATATATTTATAAATTTATAATTTAAAATTAATGTTTTAAAAAATATAATACGTTTTCTGGAAATTGAAAACTAAAGCTTTTTTTCCATTATTAAATTTACATAAATAATTTATAAATATTTTAATTAAAATTTCATCTAATAAACAATATATTAATATTTACAAAAAAAGCTGTAATTTAATTTTACATACTTCTACTAATAAGAATAACATTTGTCAACTAAGTATATTAAATTGAAAAAAAAATTGTAAAAATATGTAATTTATTATTTCCACATATTATATGATTTGTCTGACTTTCTTAATATTCTTGATAATTTTCTGAAAACTATTCCTTTGTTCTAAACAGTCCCATAATATGTCTTTCTATTACCAACTGCTTTGTTATGATAATTAGACCAAAATATTGTAAATTTCGACCTTTGCTTAATCCAATGTATCAAATATTCAATTACATCCTAGTATAGTATAGTTAATGTACTATATTCTATAATTTCCGGTATTAAGATAATCCTTGCTCAAACTATAACACATCATGATGTAATTTGTGGCATTTTCAATAAACAATTATAGAAGAAAACTATTTAGATTGGTTAGATATAATTTAATAGCATCTCAAAAGCACGTCAAGTCAGACATATTTCACTGCAGCGAATATATATCTTTATCAAAAACTACTAAAAAAACTTGTATAAATATTAATATTACATGAAATTAACTGTTATAAAGACCTATTAGTCATAGGTTTTTTATCCTAAAATATATTATTATCACTATTTTATATTTAGTTTGATATTTATTTTTTCTTATTCAAGAAAAAAATCTATATACTTAGACTATATAGAATTGATTAAGTTTAGGTAATTTTCAATAATACTTATAAATATGATTTTGAATTAAGATATGTTGCTGCACCGAATAATATAATTACAGGTTTGAAACCGTTAAACCTTGCCAACAGCCGAAGAACGAGATTGAAGTTGTTTGTAAACAGAAACTGCTTAAAGTGTTTTGAATTAATTATGCAAACCGACGAATATAGGTGAAAGACATATCCATCAATCAAATTATAATCCGTGGCTGGCGCGAATTCCAGCCGCATTAAAGCTGTTACATCATAATCAGAAGCGGACAATTACAATAATAACGATATACGACTGCGATTATGTTAATGGGTCGTTCGCAGACGGAATTCTAATTGGAAATCGTGTTTCAGATTTCTAAAGAGGAACCAAATAACCGAAATAGCTGAAGAAGCCTTCGTCAACATGACGCAGCTGAGAAAGATGTAAGTATTGGAATAAATTATCCACCAGTTTTCCTTCCTAAATCAGTCAATTCATTAGGCGTTACTTGCCAAGCAAATTATATAAGTACTTACTACTATTAACTACTTCTTATATAAGTACTTACTTTAACTACATCTATAATTTCTGTCAAAACTACAATATGTTTTGACAGAAATTTGTCAATTTCAAGGTTATATCTTAAAGTATCTAGACTAAATCAGAAATTATGATTTCAAATGTATATGTTGAAATAATTCAAACATCAAAAGACTACAGAATTATGTATTTAACAGATGAAACATAAAATGTTGCGTACACATTTGCAATGTGCAAAAATTAATTCTGAAAATATTTGCACTTATTACAATAACCGTAAGGAACTAAATATAGTAACGTGTATTATTTAAGTTGGTATACAAAAATATTTATTCGCAATAAAAATATGCAAAAAGGCCAATGACCGAAATCTTTCAACATAATTTGTATACTTCTGATTTTTGCTAAGTTTTTTTTACATTAAAATACACATGCTGCTGCCAATTTAGTATCATTTCATCGCTTTGATCGGACGACTAGCAACCACAATTTATTAGTTATATTTGGTGTATCTGTCAGAAGTTGTCATATAAAAAAACTTTATATATCGTATTGTTTCTTTATCATAAATTACTATGAAAGTCTCTCAAAGAAAATAAGTTCACTTTTTTTTCATAGGATTAATTCATTTCAAATAATTTATACATAGTTGATGACAACGTATAATAAAAATAAAGTTAAGAAATAAAATCCATGATAATCCGAAAACAACTGCCGTTGTAACTTCAATATTAAGACATGAGTAATCGTTTGTCGACAATCGAATGACCATTTTCCGCAATCTTCAAATATGATTAAACGTGTTGCAAAAGATTTTTTTAGTCGTTTCCTAATAGTGGATGAAACATTAATCCATCACTATAGACTTGACACATTAGATCAGATAAAAAAAATGGTCAGGTCACGCTAAAAACTGGTTGAAAGGCAAAGATCTAAAATATTACAGTTTCAGTTTCTTTTTAGATTGACATTGAATGATTATTTTTAATAATTTATAAACGCCGAAATTATAGATAAAGTTGTGTCCGTACAATATTTATATCAATATTGTTGTTTTATAAACTTTTCGATCTATCTTTGTATTTATGTAGTATCTTGTATAGCAGACTTATTAACATTCGAAAGTGATGAACAAGAAACAAAATAATAATAGAATATATTTTCTCGTATCCTTAAATCTCGTTTTCATTTTCCGCATTGATAAATAACGTTTCTCTCTGAGTTGATGCTGTTGTTATAGAGGCACTTTGCCAAGCGCAACTACTTTCGAATAAATCTGGCCTGTTTGTTTTATAAATATAATTTGTCGAATACACTTCGTTTAAATTGATTGTCCGAGACTTGATGAAATGTTTATGCGTTCGAAATTTCAAATTCGATCAGGATTCTCGTTCCACTTTATTATTGTTTTATTATTTGGGCCGCAGCCGGAGGCTGTTGGAGGAAAAGAAAAATACGGCTCGCAGAGTCGAGCGTCCTAAAATAATAGTTCTTTATGGCAACTGCTCATCCCTCGTTGCCCCCGTCGTCTTCTCCATTTGCAATTCGCGAAGAAACGACGTGGAATTTGCGGAATTAGCACCGGTCGCAAATAATTAAGATTCCATCGCCCCCGCCGGCGCCGCCGTTTTCAATAAAAGTCCCATTCTGATTTCGGATTTCTGCTTTCAGCGAATTGGATGACAATTATCTGGCTCACATTCCGACTGCATTGACGAAATTGCCAGCGCTCGAAGAACTGTAAGTAACCACATAACCACGACGATTGGTACACTTAAAAAGCAATTTTGCAGACATTTTAATCATTCTGTGCTATATATTGATGTGTTTTTTTTTATTTAAACTGTCGCAGATGCTTCCTATGTTAATTGATTATTCCGTTTTATGTATTTTAACTGTATGTTTCCAGACAGGAATTTTTATATTTTATTTCCGAAAATATTTATAAAACAAGGTGTTATATATTTATTTTATGTCGTATAATTTTATTCACAATCTGTTCGTCAATGTGAACATTAAGTAAATTTATGATTGATTATTCAAGTAGAACACAACTTTTCTGCAATTATATTTTTTAATTTAACAGAATACAATAATTAACAAAGAAATATTGTATTTTATTGTATCATTAATTAATAGAAAAAGAAATCTATGTGCTATGATAATTTAGGGATTAAAGGGGTTTGTAACATATTTATTTCTCTAAATTTATATATTTTCAATTCACAAATTCGCAATTATTATATGACGATCTAGGTGTTTTATAGGTTAAACCCACCTTTAATCAACACACAAAATTAATTTTATTCTGTGAAAGTATCCAGAAATATGAATATTAGTCTGAATAAATGCTTTCTCCTTTTATAAAATTGATAAATTATTATATAAACAAAAATTGATTGTATATCGCAGTCTTTCCGCGGATTGTATTTATTATACCAAATTTGCTTGATTATATATATAGCAAACAGATTATTAACTAGAAAATTATATACTACATCTTCTCTTTAGAATTATTATCGCTATGTGGAAAATGTTATCCATTATAGAGACAATATTCATTTTAAGTACTTATTGGACTATTATAAAACACATCATCAAAGTACATCTATGTCTTGTACACTTGTATCTTTACAATTAGTGTGTTTTATGACATTCCTACATTAATTTATAATAATAACAATTACAATATAGCTGAAATATGCATAATGAATTTTTTTATTTTAATGAATAGATGTTTCAATTATAAAGTGCAAAGTAAAGAAATAGTAACAGAAATAGTTCTTGCTGTAATATACAATTTACTTAATTAAGCAGAAAGAGAATAACGAAGAAAACTAACTACACAAGTATATTATTTGTAATAGCAGAAGTTATCCTACTGTTTTCCGCCTTGTAATACAGAGCGAAAAGTTTAAAGTCGAAGGGTGTTTGTGGATGTGTGCGAGGTCAAGCTGTTAAATGCACATAGCAGGATTGTCTGGTCTCAACTCTAACCTTCCAAGTTTCCGTGGAAACACATCGCCGCAGTTTTCTGGTTTATTGGTTTAAATAAAATGATCCATCGACCCAGATCTGATCTCTTTTGCGGTGGTCCGGGTATAAGCTGCTTTTCTCTGCCCCCTCACTCGTCCTATCACCACAACCCCACTGCAGCCTTCTCAACAGACAGTTTTCTTTCAATTATTTTCCGCAGGAAACTTAAACTCTAACAAAACCACGGAAAGTGGACTGCTCACAGTGCGCTTTGTTTGTCTTCCATGAAATGAAATAAATATGAGCGACGTTTTTCATCATTATATATTTTCCCTTGCGCAAACAATGGTCCTGTCTCAACTGGCTTTGTTACGTTTGTTTTCTTTCCTGTCCAACGCCGACTTATTATGTCGTACTTCTGCAATCTAAAACAAAGAAAAAAAGAGATGATGAAATAAAGCATTGAATCAACTTATTATTGCTCTTTGAAGCTTACATTTATTCAATTAATTAATTGTATAGTTGCTGACGTATAACTTTATTTGTAGGTCGATATCAGGTAATCGTATCAAATTCATCCCAGCCGGATTACTTCAGAAAACTCCGGGAATCGTGCAGTTGGATCTGAAAGGGAATCCGTTGGTCGGGGTGGACACGCACGCGTTTTCGTTTCTGCCAAACCTAAAAATTCTGCAAGTATTAAGTTCCCTAAAACATACTAAAACCGAGCCCTATGTCTAGGCTAAAGCACGTTCTAAATGTAGACGAAAAACATCATTTTATTCGTTGCAGGAGTCTCTCGGATACTCGGGTTTTATCAACGTTTCCCAGTCTGAACGGAACGAGCGCATTGGACACGCTGCGTTTGGATCGAGCCAGCATTTCTTCCGTTCCCACGAGCCTTTGCTTCACGTGTCCGAAATTGAAAACCCTGTAAGCCGAACTCTCGTCCTTAATCTCTGCCCGCAATATTCGCTTTCCATCATGACGCTTTTTATTTCTGTTCGCAGGGATTTGAAGTCCAACAAGTTGGTTCGCGTGCCGGATCTCTACAACTGCAAAGAAATGAAGGTCCTGTAAGTATTTTTAAGCATTTCCCAGTGGGAATAGAAATAATACGAGTGTTCGTCACGTTATTTTATATGATTCACTATCTTCTCGTAGGGCTCTCGCTGGAAATAAGATACATTCGTTGGAAAGTCGTCCTTTCAAAGGGATGTCTCTCATGCACGATCTCCTATTAGCTCACAACGAGATTCAACACATACCATACGATGCATTCCACGGCCTATCCAAACTACAAGTTTTGTAAGTAATATTCAATTATATTTATATTTCATTTCAATACCTTCAATTTAAGTCATACATAACTTAATAATTACACAAATAATAACTATTAATCCATTATTGTTTATGACTATAACAATAGTTTATAACATAGAATTAGCTGTGTTTAATAATAATATAAAATCAACTCATTACTTGGATAAATATGATATAGTTCTAGATTAAATAAAACTAATGTAGTTATAACATTATGAAACAAATCAAAATACTATCTTTAATGATAAAAAAAAACATATTATTAATGTATATTAACTTTGCTTCTAAATACAATTAATTAATTGCTAGTAACAAAACTATAATATTTTGTTTATATTTTAAAATACTGGTTTAAAAATATATTAAAACTCTTTCATTTTATTGTCGGGAATTGCAATCTCTATGCAAAATATGATATAAATTTTAAACTTTTGATTGGATTATGAAAATATTTATATTGTTAAAAGACGTATTTCCGTTACAATGAATATCTTATATGTTCTTTTTGCGAACAATAGTGAATCATCTCCCTTTTTTTGTTATAGGGATTTGGAAGATAACAAAATTTCCTACATCCATCCGGACGCGTTCTTGTCGATCTCGCACGTCGAAGACTTGTAAGTATGAAACGATTGATTTCAAAGGAGTTTTTGATTAGTTTGTTATAGGAATTTGGGAAACAACATTTTTTCTACGTTACCGTTCGCCGGCCTCGAGCGGCTGCTGCACTTGAAAACATTCAACAATCCAAACTTGCGAGAGTTTCCACCGCCGGAAGTCTTTCCGCGCATACAAAGTTTGGTATTGGCGTACGCGTACCATTGTTGCGCTTTCCTACCTCTGATACCGTCGAATCCGCCGCCCCGAGTCAAAGATATCATCGTATTTCCGGACGAAGGAGACGACGTCGATTGGAGCTATTGGAATACCAGTTTCGTCGATGTCTGGCCATCAATAAGTTAGTATTGGTTTTATTAATTTTTTTAAATTTAGATTTACGATGTTCTTGTTTTTAGATAACATTAGTCACAAGTTTGGGCAAAAGTTTAAAAGCTATTGGGATAAATTCGCGACAACTGCGGAGTACGCTTACCCAGCAAATTTCCCAGCGTACGTGGAAGAATATTCTGAAGATGAGATTAGCAAATATGGGTTCGATACGACTGTGGGGAAGATACAATGTCTTCCGTTGCCGGGACCATTTCTTCCTTGCCAAGATCTCTTTGACTGGTGGACATTGCGTTGCGGGGTTTGGATTGTATTTCTTTGTGCTATGTTGGGTAATGGGACTGTTGTGTTCGTCTTGATATTTTCAAGAAGTAAAATGGATGTACCGAGATTCTTGGTTTGCAATTTAGCTGCAGCGGATTTCTTCATGGGGATCTATTTAGGTGGGTTACCGTTTTTTAAGGTTTTAGAACAATGATTGATGTAAGCTGTATGCTTTTCAGGTTTTTTAGCAGTAGTAGATGCTTCGACTTTAGGTGAATTTAGAATGTATGCGATACCGTGGCAGATGTCTGCGGGATGTCAGTTGGCAGGATTCTTGGGTGTTCTGAGTTCGGAACTGTCTGTGTACACTTTGGCCGTGATAACGTTAGAACGGAACTATGCCATAACCCACGCGATGCACCTGAACAAGAGACTTTCGCTGAAGCACGCCGGTTACATAATGATCTGCGGTTGGACATTTGCAATTGTTATGGCCGTGCTTCCGCTCTTCAGTGTATCGGACTATCGCAAGTTCGCAGTGTGTTTACCGTTTGAAACTAACAATGCGGCCAGCCTGACGTACGTTGTGTTCCTGATGTTCATAAATGGTATAGCGTTTCTTATCTTGATGGGTTGTTACTTGAAAATGTACTGCGCCATCCGTGGATCCCAGGCATGGAACTCGAACGACTCTAGGATAGCGAAACGAATGGCCCTTTTAGTTTTTACTGACTTTCTGTGCTGGTCCCCGATTGCGTTCTTCTCACTCACCGCAGCCTTCGGGCTGCACTTGATCACCTTGGAACAAGCTAAAGTGTTCACCGTTTTCGTCCTGCCTTTAAATTCGTGCTGCAATCCCTTTCTGTACGCCATCCTCACGAAGCAGTTCAAGAAGGATTGTGTGATGATATGCAAGGCGATCGAGGAAAGCCGAGTGACGAGGGGCATTGGTAGATGTAGGCATAGTTCGAACTTTAGTAATCGCCAAACGCCGGCGAATACCAACAGTTTAGCGGACCGGTCTTCGCGGGAGAACCAGAACCATCACGTGCCGACGTGCACGTGCAACGCCAAATTGTTGGGCGATCAAAACGAGAATACGCCTCGACCCGACCGCAAAACCAGGACGAGAGAATGGCTTTTAAATAAGGCCAGGTGGTTGCTGTGCGTTCGTCGCCAGACTCGTCATCGGCCTAGGAGTGACCAGTACACCTACCAAATCGCCGAGATCCAGCAGAAACAGCATAAAAGAGCATCTTCAGTGTCGTCCAGCGAAAACTTTAGCTCTTCTCGCTCCGATTCCTGGCGTCACAACCACCACTGCGGCATACCGCTGCGGCTGCTAGATCCGAAGAGAAGAGCGTCATCATGGCTGGTTACCCGCAAGACTTCGCAGGACTCGAATCTCTCCAGTTCCCGTAACGATTCATCCGGATCAGCAACAACAGCCAGTACAAGCACCTGGAGGATTTCCCGTTCGAGCGCTTCCAGTGAGCCAGCCAGATTAAGGGCGAAGCCTCGACTCACCCGACAGTGTGCCATACAGGACGAATCTGAACCTCCCGGTTCACCTGGCCGGTTGACGGTTCGCTTCCTCACCACGATTCCTTCTGCTGCAGAAACCAGTATGCAGTTGGAGGATGAACCGCCTGTCCTCGTTAGTCCTGCAAAGGAACGCGAAGGACCACTCTACGCCATCCTCCATACCGCTCCTATAATCACCCCCACACGAAGACAATCCATTGTCACACTGCATCCACCCGATACCTGCAATGTCTCTAGTCAACCAGAGCCGGGACCGTCAAAGCCCGCTCCAGATCTAATAAGATAATAATTTAGTACCTAAGTCAACCAAATCTCAAGGATAAGTGCACACACGCACGCTTTACGCAATACTCGTTGAGTTAGTGCCGATATTTTTCACAATCGCATCGACGACAATAAAACAGCACATTTATTATTTATTTCCATAATCATTCCAGCATTTACATCTCATTAAAATCATGTACATATTTCAATATACGTAACAGGAACTATATTTCAGTAAATATCAATATTATCAAATTTTAACTTTGTTCAATAATCTTTTAACCCCAACATGTAATTATATCTTTTAATAGGTTAATGAAGATATTATTTCTTAATTTCACATATTTTCTAAATTAAAATCGAATCAAAAACAATACGTAATTAGTATATTGAAAGAACCAAATTAAGTTTAAATATTATTATATCAATATAATGAAGTAGACAGCAAACAAACTATATTGAAACTTAATTAATTTACTTGAAACGTCTGATGTATATATTTCAAAACAATATTATAATTATTTGTTTTAATTTAATTTAAATAATAAATAATTTTATGTAAACAATGAAATTTTTTATTATTATTATTATTATATAGTTTAATTTAATATATTTTATCTCATAAAAATAATTTGATATTCACTGAAATCTATTAACTCAATCATTCTCACAACCATCTACAATTAAATCAACCTAATCCTTTATAATATGTTGTATAAAATCTAACTCACTTTTGCAATGATTTAATATTGTTTCCTTCCATTACATACTGTTAGTATTTTGTAAACCTTATAAAGTTCAGATATAAATTATTGTTATAAACTTGTGAATACCAATTTTTGTATTCTATTTTGTTGAGTGTTACTTAAATTTACGAATGTATCTTAAAATACTCTTAAAATGACTCTCGTCTACAATTTAGGAAAATATTTTTTTATTTGAAATATGATTTTAAATGATAATAACTTTAAAAATATTAATATTTACATTCTTATTTTCTGGAATATTCTAAATTTTCTTTGTGCGCATTTTGTCCATGCCTTTCCACGTGTCCACTGGACATTTAACTTGTATCAAACTATAACGAATATTTTGAGCTCTTAGTGGGTGGTCACCTTTATTTATTATTGAATGTATATTTAATTTTTGTATTTATGCTTATTTTGATTCTTGGCTAGAATTGTTTACAGAATACTTGGTATGGCGTAGAAATATTATCCCTTCCTCTCTCTTTTCGCTCCTTCTTCAATTTTCTCTTTACTAAAAATACTAAATTGTTTATTAATACTCACATGGAAACAGCGTTAATAAATTATTAAAATAGAGCGAAGCAAGAAAATGTTTGTGCGAGGCGTGTGTGCGCCCGTTCTTCGATAAAGTAAATCTCTTGAAGCTATTGTAATGTAAATTTTAATATATATGTTTTGTATATTTATTCTATTTGTAAATAAAGTTGAGACGGATTTGGGGATTGCAGGGCCGCATCAAGGAGAATCCGCGCGTATTACAGACTTATAGTTATTTTGTGAGATAAATTTAACGGTCAATCTGCCCCAGCTCCATCTCCCGGAATAAAAAGAAAAGAAACAGATAATATAATTATAATTGAAATCTTATATAAAATATAAAATAATATGAAATATTTAAAATACCGTAAAACGAATGCGTGATAATATTGTTAGGTCGTAAGTGTGAGATATGAGAATAATAATTTTGAATAAGTGATAATTTATATGAATATATAACTCAAGAATCTATATATATTATATTTAAAGGTAATCGAAGAAATGTTATTTACACACAACTATGTATTATTATGAATGATATGATATTTCAATGTACGAGTTTTAAATGAAATTACGATTATAGTGTATGAAAATATTAAAACGAAGAAAAGAAATTCCGTACTGTTTAATATTTTGGGATTTTTGTTATTTATTTACGCTTCACAACACTGTTTAATCTCCATTATATCTCATCTTATTCATTTCGTTTTTTCACCTAAAAAACACGAGACTAGCTTAGAAATCTTTTATAGTAATAGTAGTAATAGTATAATATATATATAAAATACATCTAACTCATTCGAAATATATTTTTGTTGTAAAAAAAGAGAATTATTTTATTGTACATTTGAATATTATTAAATCGAGGGTCTCGGAGGAAGACGTCCCGTGGACCTCGAGTTGCTTAAAGGTACCGCGCTTTTGCTCTCGACAACGTCCACCTCGTTCTCACTCTTATTACTAAGTATCAAGTCTCTAGAACGCCTAAATTCATCAAATTTGCTATTCAGTATGTTGAGCTCGGATCTGGAAGTGGTCGGCTCCGGAACTGCAGAGTCGTCCAGATTATCCTCGTCCACCTCCTACAAATAAAAAGCGAAAATGTTAAAGCGGATCAAAGATAAATGAAATTAAGAAGATACCTGTATCTCGAGGAATGTCACGGGCTGGGTCCTGTATCTGTTCGATGTCCCTTTGCGTTTTTTCGGAACCACTCGCCTATGCAGACGCGACAGCGGCTCTGGATATACAGTATCCATTACTGAAAATAGGATTTTCAGAGTTATTTTTATTGGGATGGTCGTTGCACTTAAATGCGCACAATATTTTACCAAATACAAACGATGGGAAGAAAAAACAAGACACTCTCAAATACACATACACACACACACAGGGAGAAACGCACTTTATTAAAAATCCGCGCTAATTTTAGACCAACAACAATAAACACGCAGCAGCAGCTTCGGCAGCATTTCGTTTCAGTTTCCCAATTTTAGGTTTCTCCTCTCGCTTTTTTTTCTAAGATGGTATTCACTTACATTGGATTCTATCGGTCTCGCAAAACGGCATTCAGACTGTGCGAGCTGAGGTCCTCCTCCACTGTCTGAGGGGTGGTGTGTGATGGTAGTTATTTACCTCTTTTTCCTGTTTGAACTACTAAATACTGGTTGTTGTGTGTTGGTTAAAAACAGTCAGTAACGTCTGTGTAAACCTTTCGAATATTTTTGGCTAATTTTAAACTCGACACATCTCGGTGTCGGCGAGAAGCGCGCACACACACAGAGCGCTCGACTCTTTCCACACACTTCCAACAGTGCGTCGTTCTCAAGGTATTTACGAAACAAAAATTTCACGAGATCCCGACCAATCAGGAGAAAACGATTAAACTGGATTTATTTTTTCCCTTCTTTTCTTCATCTTCTTTTTTTGTTCCTTTCTAACCCAAATTTTATTATATGCTGCATATATTTGTGAATGTACACTTCTTCTTTTCTGCAAAACGCATTCAAGATAGCTTCTATTTTAAATCTTGCGAGTTATCACGTGCAGTTGAGGTGACTAACTTTTGTATACATACCAACAACCCGAATTATTATTAACAGACTATCAGGAGCCACAAGAGATTCAAATAAGTCGCACAAGAAGAAAACAACCAATTGACATATTTAGATCGCGAAAGGACGATTCACGGCAGCTGCAAGTATTTAATTTATCAGTTTTTAGTCATGACTTTCTTAAAGACATTTGATTACTCCAATGGTCTTTCATAAAGAATTCTGTATTAGCAACATATCACTACTAAAAAATATTTGTTAATTAGTTTTCTTTTCACAGTCATCTTTTCATTTTGATTATACTAAATCATGCATTAAATAATATTCAATTGGCATTAAATCTTAAACGAATATTTTTGAACAGCTGAATATGTTTTATTAGATGTTTTAGTCACGCGCTTCTATAAAATGCTTCTATTCCAGTAGTCATCGTCTTTTTTTGGCTGCGGGTCAATATACAAACATATATTAATATAAACTTCAGTTATTGCAGAACATTTTCTCATTAGGAAGCCGTCAGATTCTAATTTTTAACATTGGCATAATTACTTTCCTTTCTCTATACTATCTCAGACCATCATCACAAAATACTATTTTTATATATACTCATTACTATAACAGATATTCAATTACAACACTATTTTTTTCTTTAAATTAAGGTATAAAATCTTACTTAGAAATATTAAATATTACAAAATTTGTATTTATATTTACGACAATGACTAATGTGTTTTACATTAAATAATTATTCTCTTTGTGTAGTTTGTATAAAGTTTTGTTAAACTATAAATGGGATTTCTTTTCAATTATATTTTTTTTTAAATGTATTTATCAATGCCAAAAACATAAAATAACTAAATATATATTTTTTTCATGTAAAAACGTGAATTGTGTTTCTTAAATTTAGATTCGTTCAAATTAACCATAGAATTTTGTATTGCATTGAGGAATGTATAGTATTCCATTTAGAATGTTATGTTTATACCAAACTTTTAAATCATGTCTTAATTTATTTTATATAAGCGTGGGTAATATTAGGAAAGAGCAAAGGGAAATAGACAAATTCCGGTATAAAAAAATGTTCTTTTTAATATATAATTGTAAATACAATAAATAAATTACTACTGCGTTAGAAAAGAAGAAAAAATATATATTAAAAAGAGAAAAGTAAAATGTTAAATAAAATAATTTTACTTAAAATATATTTAACAGGTAGAACTTATCCGAGAACTCGCACCCTCTTTGGCAGAGCGCAATCGTGTGTGGTTCTATTTCTTTCGTATCTCCTTTTCCAAGTAAAAAAAAAGTCAATAGATAATAACGTATCTCAATTATCTTGGTAACTGGTTCAACATGCAAAATACAGACAGACTAGTTTCACATTGAAAATGATATACCTTTTAGTTCTCATTATACAATTATAATATCGATATATAAATAATAAATTGAAAATATGTATAAAATATTTAAAATTACAAAAAAAAGACGTAACTAAAATCGTAAACTGAAAGTTGCCGCTAAATATTTATCATTCAATGTACATGTGGCACATGCTTGTATTATTTCATCCTCAATCTCTTTAATAATCAGTTATGAAGCAACTTAGTAATCACAAAATAAAAAATTATAATCATCGTCATATATATATATAAAATATTATTGTTACGAAAAAACTTCACAAGTTTTTAATAATATCACGCTAGGCCCGAATCGACGTGAGTGCGTCTCTTCGAGTCCGATCTCTGCACCCCGTGGTCCGGAGTCGACTTCAGAATATCCGGTTGCGACTGATTCGCAATTGTCTGACTAATTATAGAGGGGTTCACCAGTGATTGGTTCACTGAAACCATGGTTCCTCTGCTCAACGTGCCCAACAACGGAGTGCCAGGGTTGTTTATCAGCAGATTCATGTAATCCGCTATCAGCAGCGTCAGCTCGAGGATTTTCGGTTTACTCAAGGAGAAGATCAGCTTCTGAGATGGTTGCTGGTCGTTCTGAGTAACGACCAGCATGAAATCCTCCTGGCAGCCACCGAAAGTTAAAACATTGGTGTACGGATATCGCACACGTTGCTGCATCGTTGCTAAATCTAAAACGGTTATTGCGTCTTCGTTCACAGCCAACCAAATCATCGGAGAATCATGTTGCCTTAATCTCGCCTGAAAAATAATCGACAAATCAATATCATAATTAGTAAATATTAGTATTTGTTAATTACTTGGAATAGTGTAGCTCCGAAGTAAGGCCATTTTCTCGAACACGTAAGATAAATCCTTACGCAATCCAACTGAGTTCTGCCTTTCAGGCTCCGCCATTTCTCCAATAATTTAGCTTGAAGCTCGCTTAGACCATCCTGAGATAGTTGATCTCTATACCGGTAAGGGTAGAATTTGTCAATGGCGTTGAGGGTTTGATTCGAGTGCGCCGTAAGGATGTTATGAACATTGTTTAAGGCGTTGAGCGTGTGTGATGTTTGAACTGTTGCATGGGTCTGCCCATTTAAAGTCCCACTGGAGTTTTTGTGCGAGGAACTTTGGGCACTTAACGTGGCGTTCGCGCTCTGCACAATCTTCGCGTTCAGAGTGTTCTTAACGCTCAAAGAGCAATCGCCCATATCCAATTGTGCCATCAACGAGGCCAATTCCAGAGCTAATTCCCTGCTCAACGGAAACCGTCCGGCCACGATTTGCTTGTTCACTTGGTAGCATAACAGTAATCGCTCTTTATCCGTTTCCAATCGTGCACTATTCTTCCACCACAATCGGTTCTTATAAGTCAACCGAATGACGCGGCTGTTCTCAAACTTGCCGAGTCCCTTCTCCCTCAACGCTATTTCCCACTTCGAAATTAAATCGCATAACTTTGCGTTCGGGTCCAAAGTATGCTCTAAATCTTTCTCTATGGGATCGTCGCTGAACAGCGCGAAACCATTCGTTACTCTACAGCCAATTTCGTGTGCTAAACTATCCTGAAATTCTTTAATAGTACTAGAGCCATCGAAACTTGAAATGTGATAGGTGCCGTTCAGCAAATGAACTGGCATCGAATGCGGTAACGAATGATGTTGAGGATTCTTCATTAAAATACTCAAAACTTCCATCCGAGATGGTTTCAATTCACGTCCACCTAAAAATTACCAATTGCAAATGAGTTACCGAACGAACTTCATAGTAATATTAAATAAGCTACCCATTAAAATGGTCCTTTCCAAAGCTCGTTCACAGTACGAAGCGTACTTTCCGCATTCAGAACGGTTATCCGCATTCCTTTGCAAGTGCAATTTAAGAAACCAGAGTAACCTGGAAGATTTAGGCACAAACAGGCTCACTGCTAATGCGAGCAATTGCCACCCTTGCAACAAAGTAAAACTTGGCGGGCCTTTGTGGTCCTTGTGCTCTTTATATGATTCCTTTTGCTCTTTGTATTTCTCTTCTTGGACAGCCTGTATATTAGAAGATGCAATTTGTTGATCAGAGGTACTATTAATACTTGGAGTTGTCTCGCAAGTGAACAAACTCTGGGTAGCGCAAAGCAGCAGTTGCTGAAAAGAATTTTGGTGTTTCTTATACATTGTGGTAACAAAATCCCACCCCCTATGTTCATATTGTTTTTGTTGTAGTATTAATACATATGGTACATATATTGTTTATATTTGTATAGTTGATGAAGCCCCAAAAAGAAAAGAAAATTCTGAACGATGTGTATGATGGAATGTGTGTCAAACAATAACAAAGAAAATGGTATGATATATGGAACATAAATCGGCGAAATGTGTGTGTAAATATAGAGAGAAAGTAGACATAGGAGAGACAATCATAGCCATCACTAAATATTCTAAGAACATCTTCTAATTGAGACACATTCAAAGTATATATATAAAAGATATAAACTAAATAAAGAAATATAAGAAAACACCAACATTCTTACCAAAATTGTTGCCTATAATAGTTGCTACTACGTCTAGAAATTATAATAACAAATAAAAAATCTGTTTCTTGCACTTTGTCAAAAAGAAGATTTTTCTAAATGCTATATATGCGCCAAGCATGCAGACACCAATAAGCCAACAATCATTCTTTAACCAAATAATGACTCTTTCTATTGAGAAATTTATATTTGATTTAAAATTGAATTACTCTAAAGTCTAGTTTCAATATTATAAGCTTCTATATAATAATATATACGTTTACCATCATTTATTTTGTTTAACAGTTTCAAATAAAATAAATATGGTAAAATACATGTGAAACTAGATTTCTAAATGTATTGAAATCTTTACTATTTCATTCTATATGTTTGAATGTAACTCTAGAAGTTTAAGTAACTAATTGTATAAAGTCGTTTGGTTAAAGAAAAAAATGTTGTTTTGCATGATGAATATAATGAAATAAAAATGATAAATGAAATTGTGCACGTAGATAGTAGAATATTCAAATTGCGAGCAAACTTGCCAGTAATAATAATAATAATAGAACTTAAAGAAATGAAGAAGAAAAGTAAAGTTTAAAAAAAGAAAATGAATCTGATTTCTGAGAAATCTTGTAACATACTTTTCATTTCTATGAGAAACCTCATTAGATTTGTTCATTTCTCTTTTTTTCTATAAGGAAATAAATATAAAAAGCACACTTACACCTTTCTTAAGCAATTTTTGTGTAGATACCTGAACGCCCAGTTTGGGTAGTGGAGCACTCTTGCTAGTCTGTTTGACGAGAGCGCAGATAAGTTCCGCTTGAAGTTCTGGCATATCCAAGCACTGCTGAAGTGCGTTTTGGGCTAAAACCACATGATAGTCTATTCCCGCCTGGTCCACAGCAGCCGACATGAACAATTGAAGACATTTGAATAGCTTAATTGCTTCCGCCTAAAATTGATTAAACATTAAATTGAGTATCCTTAATTGCTCGAATCATGTGCAATTCATACTTGTAATGTTTCTGTAGATAAAGTGGTCAAGGGGAAGTACGAAGGGATAGCTCCATCTTTGGTACAAGGCACGTGTAGTAAAACGGGATGGCGCCAGAGAACACAATTTGGATCTCCATCAACTTCCATCAATTTATGAATGAGTTGCTCGTACTGTGTTCCTGTACTTGGCCCACCGCCACTGGCGACAGTCAAATGATAAAGCCATGCATCCTTTTCCTGTTTACCGGGGCATAAGAGATACGTAGGACCTTGATTAGTTGGGAAAATGCCAATTGTTAAATCTGGACTCTCTGAATCACGCTCTTCCGAATCAGAATCTGATAAATGTTCAACTTCCTCGACGCGGGCATCCCGCATATTTATTTGACCGGCAGGTGTCTGCTAAAATACAATAAAATAATGTAAAATCATGTAATATTAAAGAAAATTCAATCTTACTGTGTCTGTTGGTGATTTGAAATACAAGAACATTTTTCCAATCAGAACGCACCAACATTTCTTGGCGTGTCCGTTTTTCACTTTTGTAAGCCATCCCTGCACGGCGGGTTTATTTTCTTCTCTACTTAATAATAACTTTGTTGCGTTTCTTCTCTGCACATTTTGCAAAATCCTGACCTAAATTGAAGCAATTAATTGTTATTATCGATTTTAAATCAAGGTTACGAACCCAATCTTCCATGGCCGTAATTGAATCCGCAGTTAAATAATACGTCTTCTTCCCGGTATCGATTTCAAAGGTATTCGATCCTTCTGCCCTCGTGATTTTGCATATATCATCTAACAGGATTTGCCCTTGCGGTTTTCCATTTTGACTTTTATAGTAGGTCAACACGCCGTGCTTTAACACGAACCAGCGTTTCCGCCAAGTCTTCAGTTTACCACCTAGATACATACAAATTATTAGAATTTAAAAAGCTAATTAAATAATATTAAATTACCTAATTTAGCCAATGAACCACTCTTCTCTAAGTTTTCCGTACGTTTAGGGCTATCCAAATAAGAGGCTCTTAGTAAAAGTGAAGATTCTAGACTCGTCGTGTCGCAACTCAATGCGTCCGGTGGTACTGCATAATCATCAGACATGCCCGATTCAAAGGAAGTATCTGAAACGCCTGTTTGTGTTAACAAACAGATAATGCCGTGATGAAAATAAAAATGCAAAATAAAATGGTTTTTGTAGCTGCGAAACAAGTGATTGGAAAAAGAAAAGAAAAAATATGCATGTGTCCTACGTGAAAACTCACCACGCGTTTTACTTTTACTCGGAGATCCGCTGCTGCTGGAAGCCGTCCTCTTGCCTGGACTCGACCCGGAAGTTTCTCCTGAGCTTCTACTGTGTGTATTTGTGCCACCATCAACAGCCTTAAAAATAATAATGTTAACGTTTCATAATTGTAATGTAAAATTTATTTATAAATTACCGTTGTGTTGTTGCCTTCACCGTCGCTGGAATCATCCGAAGAATCACCGGTGAAAGGCATTGAGCGAATCTGACTGGCCCTTCCCTTGACGGTTGCGTAAACTGGTACAGGAATGTCTTGGTATCCAGCTTGTTCTGGGCCCATGTCGCTGGGTGTTGTACCGGTCAAGGTGAGGCCACCTGCAGCCACTTGGTAAATCCTATCCTCCCAGCTAGGGAATCTGTGCAGAGGAGGCGTTGGTGCCCTGGGCCAGGCTACCTTCTCCCTGCTGGGAGTATAGATCTCCGCATAATCATGTGCCAAATCAGAATCTGAAGCACTGCTAGGAACTCGGCCCAAACTTAAATTATCAACTGCAGCGCAAAGATCTTCAGTTAAAGGATCCATACTGGAGTTGCTAGGTAGAAAATTGACGCTGGTTACGAGGTTGCTTGGTATGAGGGGTTGGTGTGACGGTTCGAAGCTCGCTGAGACACATACGGATTGGTGTCGACGGTGTCTCGTTGAAGATGACGCCGCACCCTTCGGCTCCGGTGAACAGCTTTCCGATCGACGGCGGTCTGCTAAGGCCAGGTGATTCTTCAGCAGTTCCAGCTGCTGGTTGCACTTGATATTCTGCTCCCGGAGTGTTTGGTTCTGCTGCTCTAGCTCCTTGAGCTTATTCGTAACCCATTCCTTGATGCGGGCCGCCTTCGCCTCGACCTGTCTCGCGTCCTGAAGGCGAAGTTGACGTTGCTCCTCAACTTCACCTTCCAGCCGCGATATCTGAGTCGTGTTGGAATCACTTTGCTGCGACCATGCTAGCTTCTGTTCCATTATTCGTACCTGAAAATAGTCAAAAGCAAATGTTCATTTTAAAGTCCATTTAACTTGCAAAACGGAAATGGATTTCGGAAGTCGCCTTTCCATCATCGCGTACAGGATTAAATAATATCTCGAGAAGATATAAAAATAGATGCACTTATTTACGGCATTGTAAGACATGTGTCTCGACTAATTTGTAACTGGAAACAGGTGTTGAGTATTAATGTGACATTAATGATTCGTTTCAAACGTCAACAGCAACGAGAGGCACTTCTGTACCAATTTAAAATATTATTAATAAGGTACACTCGCTTTTTCATCATGTTCTAGAATACATTTAGATTTATTATAGGTCTTAAAAAAATATATATTTTAAGTCTTAAATAAATGAGCTGTACAAAATATCACTTCCATGTAATACCACTAAATCTTAAAAACGCGTTTAAGTGACTTTGAAGAAGAGACAAAGTAATGTGCGTGCATCGATAAAAAATTGTAAATTGGAGATCAAACAAATAAAATACATCTTATATATTATAGAATCAACAATATAATGTATGTAACTTGTGTTGTATTACAATATTTCATAATGTGTTTTTTAACGTGCTGAAATAGTTCTTAGATGACTGTGTCCAATTAGACGTTGTATTTAGTTATACAATATTGTTTATTATCATTTTTATATATTTTTAATACAAAATTCGTATTCAAAGTATGAAGTAATAAAGTCATAAACTATACAATACTGTGGTAAATAGCCCAATGTATATAATTATTAGTGCAAAATAATATTATCTAAATTTTAATCGATAATAACTATGTATTATTAAATTTTTTAATAATAATATTATGCATATATAAACATATATAACATTGTAATAATTATGTATTGTGGTTTAAAGAGAAAGTATAATGTTCAGCATATAACGTTTCTTATGTACAAAATGAGTCACGTAAAAATCCAATATCTAGGAGTAATTGGTAATTCGTCCGTGCACAAGAAATAAATTGCTATAGAGAAAAATAAAATGAAGCAATTATATAATATAATATGCAACTGTCTGAAATTCCAGGTTTTATATTGAAATTATTCATGAGATGAAGTCGGAAACTCCGATAAGAAAAATTGATTAATTTTATGAATCATTATTATGCTGAATAATGTAAACGCATTTCTTTATCCGCCGTAACACCGGGCATTTCCTTTTCCCTTTTTTACCTGAGGTCTCCATGGTGTGCGTGTGCGTCCTTTATGATAATAGAAATCGGATATTACAGCGAAATCTCAGTTTGCGTGCCCTTTCTTTCGATGTTGAGGAACAATAGGTCACACTAACACACTGACTGTCGGGCTCGAACTGTCTGCAGAGCACGAAGAGAACGCGTATGGTCTATAAATGGCGCCAGAGCGTCGCGACGCCGTCAGTAAACTTCCCCAACGAGGGTGTTTGCCCCTCGGCTCAGCTCACTGGCAGTCGGCCAAGCACCCTACAATAATAGCACAAGCTCTCTTCCTCTATTTTTGATATAACTCATCCCGAAAGAACCTCAAATCTCCTCAAATAACAGCATGGATGTAACACACAACAACTACAGAAAAAAACACAAGAAGAAAAAATCTTCCGAAAATATATCCAAGTGCACGCCGCTATATATTCACAATACAAACATTCCCGGACTATAAATAAATTTCGAATGGAAGGAAAGACAGAATGAAGGGAAAAAGAAACGGTGAGGGGATCAACTGGAAGCGCCAGGTGTCTGCATACCAAATCGCTTTTTTCTCGTCAACAAATTAAAAATTATCTATTCATGCTTAAACTTCTGGAAATGAACTTTAAGCGAATTTCTCCATGAAAACTATCCTTTCTCCTCTCTTTTTTTCCTGTGTCCACACAATGTTTATTCTCGGTGACTCATTTAATATTAACCTAAATACTATAGGGGGAGAAGACACCCCACCGTTAAACATGTAGGGTGCATATGTGTGTACGCGCGTGTGTGTGCGTGCGTGTATTGTGTTACACATTTTAAAATCCCTAACAAAAAGGACGTATGTCTGTGCAGCAGTTTTGCGGATCCTTCGTTCCCCCATGCAGAACACAGGACCGTACACACGAGTAACAACTTCAAACGACTGCGATGATTAAATTGTAAACCGAATCGCATTCCACGAATTATATTTGATTTGATTTAGCAAGGCTTCACGGTATAACTCTGTTCTGTACGGTGGGCATACGAAACATCAAACGTGATCAAACGGAAAACGGTTATTTGTCAGAGCCGTCGTCATGGAACACTGCACGTACGAAAATATACTTTTGTAATTAAAGAAAACAAAATAAAATCATAACTGTATTTTCGAAATACAAATTATTTGAATCGTGCACCGTTCATCCATTATCTACTTTAACATATATGATACAAACTAACTTTATGAATACAATAGTAATTCGTAAATAATTTACCAAAAAGTCAGTATTAGTAATATCTAATTAGCAAATATTATATTAAATAAAAAAATGTAAATTATTTGTAATAATAATGATTACTTTACTGAAAGACTATGGTCAACCGTAAATGTGTTAATATGTTAAAAAAAAATGTCATCGTTTATCATTAAGATATGATTCTACACTTTTAATTATATTTTCGTTTTGATATAATTGAAACATACTGAACCGGATTTCGAAAATTTGTTGTCCTTTGGGAGTAATATTTATTATGTGTTTGCATTTGAACGGTCTAGACACGTGTCTAGCATATATCACATGCGAGAAATAGTGTCTTTAATAAATTCTACGTTGACACAAACAAAAATCATGTCCTTATGTGTCGACCGTAATCCTGATAATTCGAATTTATAGCTTAATATAAATATCAATATCTAAAAAAATAATTATAAAAAAATTACTTCAAAATACGGATTTTGAACATATAGCAAAAAGACTATCGTCGAATATATTTTATTTAAATGTCAGATGTTACAATTATTTTAACTTTTGACATTGCCATTGATTAGAAAATTGTAGATTAGTCTAAAAGTATATATTTATACTACAAGAATTAAGAAGTCTTTGTATATGTAAGTTTAAATATAAATATACATTAAAAATAGCTAATACTAATGCAATATTACAATCTGAGTACTTGCTTCTAAGTATCTCGAAGATCTAGAAGTATAGTTCATAAAAGTAGAGTCAACCAAATAAAATAATCATGGATAACTTTTACTATAAAATGGTTAGGTGTATTATCATTTAATGAAGATTAACACCCAATAATTGCTTATTCAATGTATAAATAAGAAAAAATAGATAAAAATAAAAGAACAAGAAACAGCCTAAAAGATAATCATCAGATCTGAGATATAGAAAGAAATATTCGATTCATATAAATGCACAGTTATTTCATAATTTATGATAACGCAAACACGAAAACGTTTTAAATAAATTTAATTTTACATTTATTCTTTCTTTTAATCTATGTACTATTTATGTTATTTTTATTAATATTTTTATTTGTTTAAACATTTTATATGTATTTCTTAAGAATGCATAAAATCAAAAACTTAATTTGCATTGGGTGTATCAAATTAATAACAACTCTTTTCCACATGTAAATTGTGAAATATTAATAATTTATATGAAACAAACAGCAAAAGGAAATAGAAGCAAAGTACTCCTTCCAAGAAATAGTCAAGCTATTTACTATGCGCTTACCGACATAAAACGATGCAAATGAATACTGATGTAATTTACATGCAACGCAGCGAATAAAATAATATATTTACATTACAAATAGTGTGTGTGTGTAGAGTAGAAGCAACATAAGCAAGAAAGACAAACAAAACATAACAATAAACGATTGATAGTCTCAATCGATTTCTTATTGGATTCTCGCTTACTACTAATAAACTTGGTAATAAGCGATATAAATAAATAAAACTTGGTGTCCAATCAATTATTTGTAACGTTCTTTTACAACCAGCCATTAAAATTGGATGTAACAAAGTCTACGGTTGCTGCATGAAATTCGAATCTTCCATTTCCATCGCAAAACCAAACAACAAATGTCAATATTAAATATTAATCAAGGCATTGTTGTCTTAGCAAATATTTGAAGGGAATAATGAATGAGTTGGTTTTGTTTTGGATGTATTTGCCCAGAGAGGAGAGTTGATTATTTATGATCGGACTGCTCTGTAGGTAAGGCTACCACTTAAATGTTGTAACGGTAAATGTTTAAATGTTAAACTTACATTTTCTTCTGATGAATGTCACACCGTAAAAACACGCTGGATTCGCGCACAACAGCACTGGGAAAGGTCGCACGGGGTCGTTATGCGACCTGGAGGATATATACAACAGGCACGTCACGGCGTCGGTCGTTCGATGGGGTTTTTCGGATTCGTTATGGGGTATTTCCAAAATGATATAATGGAATATTAGGCCGTTCGGTAACGGAAAGAAGTACCTTTTTTTTCGAAGAGTGTTTTTTCTGTCAGCTGCAGGACGCCATGACCGTCACACACCGAACACACGGCCGAGCGCCAGCGTCGCGACGGAAAATAATCAATAACAGACGATAGCGAAAGTGAGAGGCGCGTTGCATGGCAACCCCCGAACACCCCACACATACACTCAGCCTACATCCCTTACATCCCTTTCTGCAGGGATGCCCTCCCGTCGTCTCGGCAAAACTGCCAACATTCAAGAGCCAAAAATGTGTAACATCAAAGAGGTGCTGGATTTCCCTTTGCGCTCAATTAAACTTACAACGAATTCTGGATAGAACCTAATCTCCACATTCAGCATAACATTTAATACCACTTGGTTGGAGTGTACGCATATTTTCGATTCCGGATAAAACCACGTGGAAATTTCGTATTCAAAGGCTTCGCCTTTTAATGGTCTATGTTCAAAGGATATTACCATTCATACATAAACAATTACAATTCATTGGTGACAGAATTATTAATATATAATTTTGCATTGCATTAAATGCATATGCGAATATTTGTTTGTTTAATCCTAATGTGGTAAAAAAGAATATAGAATATATTACCCATTAAAAATTTAAATGTTTTTAAATAATTAAAGACGTTTTAATTTTCACATAAAAATATAAAAAAGCAAATTAAAATGAGAAATATTTATTGCTAGTTGCAATAGTTTTTGCTAGTTTTTGTTTTGAAATTAATGACGTAATTGTATAATTATTGTAATATATATTGGAATTATTATTAGAAATATTTATTTATATATTAAATACCATACATTTTTATATTTAATTATATTGATATTTAATTTATCTTTTTTTTGTAGATTACATAATGTATTTTATATTGAAGGGAAGATTCATAAAGAACATCTGTTGTTTAACCCTTTGAAGGGCCAGAAATTCCTAAATTTCTAGATAATTTAATCAGATAACTTCGTCAATTGAATCAACAGCGGATAGTACGGATTCAACATAAACATCTATCAAATTCATCTCTTTCCTGGACATTTTCTAGAAAATTGTAATAAGGCTTCATTAGTGCCCTCAAACAATTAAATTATTACAACTAATCTAATTACACTATGTGTGACATTACAAATAAATATCTGTCAGGCGTAACAACTCATATCATTACTTTTCTTATCTAATTATGGGGTACATATAATGTCCCATAACACCAACTATTATTGGTTATCAATTATTGAGTTCAACGTTATTGAAACTGAACTAACAACTACATTTGTTAACATTTACATAGCAGTGGGTACGCCTTATAGACATTTCTATCAGATGATAAATATAATTTGGATGTATCACAACATACTTGTTATGAGCTGAATGTCTACCCAAAAAAACATATACATAAAAAGTTGATATTACATAAACAAATCAGAATGCTATAATTCCATTCAATTCAGATATAAATAAATCACTAACTCTCCAATATACATTGTGTAACTTTCATAAGCTGTGAATTATATAATTATTATTTGAATATACAATCATAATGAAGAGATATAAATTCATTTATATAACTTTCATTATATCAAAAATTATTTGCTAGTATTTAATAATTATATATAATTCGGTGCTTGGCTTTCTTGGTACAAGGTTATAAATTAAATTGTTTAAATCATAAAATTAAAAAGTAAATATTTAAAATTAATATATGAAAACGGTGACAATTTCTAAATAAATATAAATGATCTCATACACATGACAGGCTTCTATCTTATTTACATTACATATTTGTAAATAACTTGCATATGCTTATTCAGATAAAAAATAATAAACAAAAGTTACTTATTTATATTTAATTACATCCACTAAAATATTAATTATTATGTAATAATAAAAACAATATTTTATGGAATATCATTTTTAGAAGGTTTCATTCTTAAATGGCCATCAACCACAAGGTTTTAATATATAAAAACGGTGACAATTTGTAAATAAATATAAATGATCTCATACATATGACCGGCTTCTTTCTTATTTACATTACATATTTGTAAACAACTTGCATATGCTTATTCATATAAAAAATAATAAACAAAACTTTTTATGGAATATCATTATGGAATATCATTTTTAGTAGGTTTCATTGTTAAAAGGCCATCAACCTCAAGGTTTTATACTAATTGTATTTTTTTTAAACTAAAACAAGGATGTTAAATATTATGTATTAAATAGCATTACGATTAAAACTTGACATTTTTTAACGAATTAGAAAGGACGTTAATATTATGATAATTATTAATGAAGATATTACATATCCACTATTAATATGCAACGAATTCGATACGAATGGCAATGATCGAATTGCATGCATTAAAATGTAGGATTTCAAGTTACATTCTATTACTTATTCCAATCTAATATGACACATGTTTTCCAATTACTAATTAAATTTGTTATTAATAAACCTAATTATTGCTAATATTAATGATTACGTTATAGCAATTTGCAACTATTTCGCATTAACAAGAAGTGGAATATTAGCATTTGCAGACTGTATGAATTAAAGGTGTATAGTATAAATACAGCCGTATAGCCTTTACTTCGTTAGAAGTAAGTTATATAAAATATGCACTCAAATGTGTACGTTAATTGAATAAATACTAAGTTGAGTCATTACCTTATCCTCCGCCTCTTCAGCACGGCCTTCCGCTTCGAGAACTCGCTGCTCGAGCTCGGAAAGCTGAAAACAAATTGCATAATTAAAAAAAATGTTAATTAAAAAAAAACAAAATGATACATTTTTCGACACACAACCATTATTAAATTGTATAATAAATACATATAAGTTAAGAATAATTTGTTGATTATATTCATATATATTTTTTTCTTATTTACAAATAATAATTTAGTATGAAACAAAGTAAAAAAATAAAAGTAAATGAATTATCTTTTTATTATAATTCTCATATAATATCCGGTTCTGGAATATCCTGTTATCCGCGGAAAGTAGCATCGTAGCGCCATCTTCAGCAACCCCCAACACGTAGAACCACCTTACCCCTTAGCAAGTTCAGTGGATGCAGCACAGATGTCGCCACATACACTGGAAATACTATTTCCTTGAAGTGATGTTACATGACTTACCCTCGTAACATTTGCTAACCAAACATTATTCTACAATTCGAAACAACTTCAACAATTAACGGAATTATATTTATACTTGTTATATTGAATTGAATTGTAAATATTAGTCGATGAAACTTTGCTCCGAAATTCTATTGTAATGCAGGATCGTGTTTACTATAAACAGATTGATGTTTAGTATGCAAAATACTTAACTGCCAATGGGCAAATTACTGAATATAATGTAAATATAATGTAACAACCTCATTAATAATTTAATAATATTGATACTGATATAATTACCAACAGACATGTTTCGATAATAAAATAGAAAAGCAAGTATATTAATACAGTAATCAAATAACACAATTATTATATTTTCAAATTGTAAATAATTATTCTAAGTAAAGCAATTTTAAAATTTCATTGAAATATAATTCATAATGTATTAACGCAGTCTATGCGCCATAGAATAAAATATTTACATGTAAATATTAAATAATTTAATATTATTAAATGTAATAATATATATAATAGCATATTTTTCATAGTTCCACAAATGATGAATTTCAAATGTTGTTGAATTTCTTCTGGAACTCCATTTCAAATATGTTTTTACTTTCTGACCGGATTGCTGAGCTAAACTGAGACTTGTATCTAATTAATTTTTTGGAAAACGATATTCTAACATATAATTAAGATATAGATGTAATTAATATAATAATAGTTCTTATTATAATTGTTCAATTTCTGCTATCAATCAAAATGTTTCTTTTATTAAAAAAATGTAATAAAATATATGAATATATAGATTATTAAATTGTTTTGGTTTCTATATTAGTTTTGCATAAAGTAATTAAAATTTTGGTTATATTTATTATTGAAATCTGAAAATTAAAATTGAATCTTCTTCAAATTTATGAACGTCTAATTAGTGCTCTATAACAAGTATCAATTAGAAATGATTAAAAAGAAGAGTAGAAAATATGATGGAGTAATAATGGGTCTTCCTTGTAATCGATTAAACGACTGCAGGGACAAAATTAATTAAAAATGTAATAAGCTCATATAGCACGGAACAAGCAATTACCATTCGTAAAAGTAAATATTTTCATAAATCCGAAGAAATGCACGAATCATTTGTGCACGCCAAGTTAACATATTCTAATGCATAATTCATATTTGCATATTCTGAGGCAATTGCATTACAGTATAGTAAATATGCATTAATTAGTAAATTGCACGGACGTATTTTAATTAGAGAAATGTATCATGGGGGCGAAGTCGAAGAAAACCGCAGACGGAGTCGCCCCCGGGTCGCTTCGTTTTGCAGAGAAACAAATGGAAAACAAACCGAGGAAAGTAATTTCTCTCCTGAATGGAAGCGTTTTGTTTTATGTAAAAGCTCCTCCGGGCGATTGAATGCAAGGTCTTCGAGGACCTCTCGTTTCCTCCACATTCTCTGCTCGCTGATACAACGCAACGAAGAATCATATTTATTTCAATAGAAGTCGCAAACGTAATAAGGCGGAATTGAATCGTCCTGAGAAAATTGGGCATTGCGACAAAATCCGATTTTCCGAATCGCTTCGTTTTATCGTCATTATGTGGCTTAGTCGTGCTTAGGTATTATTAGTATTCTGCGTTATAACGAATCGCGCGCACAGGAAATGTGCAGCAACGTGGTTGTAAATAATTTAGAGGTTGTTGGTGATTGATTGAATCGACTGGGTATATCGAAACGGATGGGATATTTTATAACGTTGCCACATAGGCAGGTAACGCTTCGAGAAAATATAAACCACGTGTTGCATACACACATTGCGGTGGTTTCCAGTTTTCCTAGTTGAAAGCCTTTAAATTTCCAGGCACGTGCAACCACCTACCTACGTACCTCCTACCCAAACCGTACACATACACACAAGAGCCTGGATGTATCGATGGAAATAAAAACCGCAATTCCACCAAAACAAACCTTATTTACATTTTCAATCAAATCCCCATCTGCCGCGAATTTAATTCATCGAATTTCCTCCCCTCCGATAATATATGATGGATATTCCAATATCCCGAGCAGACGCTTTTCGCGTTTCCTTTCCTTCCAATTACTCTCTTTCAAGTTTCCTGAAAACAAATTTGCACACAATATTGTTGTTTCCTCTCTCTCTTTCTCCTTTCATCTAATACCATCTTTCATCGTCTTTCTTGTGTGTATTTTTAATTTTCCTGTCCGACGGAACTTAATCAACTTCCCGCTGCTACATTATATTTTTCTATATTATTATTTTTTCATTTCTGTAATTTTCCCCGTCGCGTTCTTCTTCTTCTTCTTCTCGATCTCATCTTCATCTCCTTGTTGTTCCTTTCTCTCGTCTGCCATAGTAATGGTAACGGGGATAATAAATTGCGAAAACTTAATCATTTATCTAGACAAATGAAAGAGAGGAGAGAGAAAGAAGGATATCCCTTTTCGTACTCCCCCCAAGGAAATGTGATGAAGTTTAGTAAGGAAGCGAGCGAGGGAACAAGCAACAAGCAATGCACACATATGGTCTAATTAACGTAATATGGAACAATACAATTTCGCTCCGCGGCTTCCATAATGTAAATTTACACTCTAAATAGGGACTAAGTAAGAAAACGAAAACAAAAAAGTTAGATATAAGATCTTATTGCATGTCGTAATAAAATTTAAGCTTGAACGAAAAATTGTTGGGAGGAAATTCTGTCTGCGTTGTACGCAGTAAAGAAGCAATTTTTATGAAGCGCACTAATTTTCCATTGCATACATATGTGTACAGTATTAAGTTACATTGTGTGCTCTACCTGAATGATAATTAATGTTAGCGCTTGTTATTAATTACTTGCTGCATCAAAGCTTTAGAAACTGTTTAAATTCCGAGACTACCGCACATGGCATACACAGCTGCTCAGCACATACTTTTATCACAAACACTAAAGAAACCGGACGTCAAAAGATGTGCATTAAGCCTGCTGCATTTGGATCACGTAACTCATATTATATTTATTATTACTAGAGGCGCATTAACAAGTTGTAAATGTGGATTATAATTAATTAACTTTATTCTTACATATTCCATATTTGTATTATATTACAAGCCAGAAATGTTGGCAGGTTGTGAATGAATAACAAAAGTTAAAAATAAATTATATTACAAATAATAAATTTCAAAATATTTTAGTTATTTAATAAAATAATTTATTACTTTAATTTAAAAATAAAAAACTGTTTAATTTTATCCACACTATACATGACAAACATGTCAGTATTATCAAACTATTTATACAATATGGTATGCAATTGACAATATCAGTTCAATTTGCATTTAGTATAGATGAAAAATTATTAATAATTAATATTATTGTATATTAACATACATTTTACTTATATAAATCAATTTAGATTTGTGGTGTATCTTATGTCTTTTACATGCCAGGGCACGTTTTTTACGCTATTAGGCTAATTATAAAATGGAGAAGTTTTAATTGTGTTCTAAAAATATATTTTAAAGTCTTTTCATGACATTCATAATTTATTAAAAATCATCAATATTTTGTATTTAATTTATAATCATTATTTGAATAAAATATAGTTATAATTAGATTTGATTGCTGTTAGATTAATATTTTACTCAAAAATTTAATAATACAATGATTTAATTATAAAATCAACTGTTATGTTAATAAGTCTTGTTTTTAAAGATGATTCTTATAGTACCCACATTCTAAATCTAAAAATTCTCATCTCTTAAGTTTTTTTTTCTCATCCATATAAATAATAACCAACATAGACTGAAATAGTTCGGTCAATGGCCGATTAGCAAGATTGTTTTTCAAACCCAAAAAATAATAATAAACTAAAATCTGACATTCTAATTTTACAGCATAATAAACAATTCGGAGCAAAATAAGTGATTCCATGTTATGGTTTACTATAATAAAGATGTCTTGTTATATACAAGCGGACTTTCTACTCGAAGTTAGAGACGGTTTCAAAGGTTTTAGTGCAGTCGTTCTATTTCCTACGTGATCCATTTTGGTGGGTCAAAACACATCGCGGACCACCTACATCATATTTACGTTGTCTTCTTGCTCCACAGATGTAAACCAGTTTACTGTATGTGCGGGGACCACCTGGAGGAAGACCATATTTCGAAGTCCAGCTGATTCAGACCATATCGCGTTAAGTGCGAGCTTTCTTTGTGGCACTTAGACCGTTATCGATTTAAGCCGATGTGATTATACAATCGTATAATTAAATTATGAACATTAAGTTGCGATATTAAAAAGGTAACCTACATCTTGATCGATCAATATATGATGCAACGGCTCAATTATATCTCAGTTTCTATTGTTAGCTCATTGTCTCTCTCTCTTCTCAATGTGAATACACCTCTTGGTTTGGAGGAATTACTTGAATGAAGTAACAGATGAGATTTTGTGTTTCTATTTTGTGTACGAATTTATCAATTCTGTATTTCAATTAAAAGTTTTCGGAACGGCGAAATCATAACGTCATTAGGTTACAATGAAAACTTTTCATGCAATTTCAAGTGAATTGGATGGAGGGAGGCTTTTACATATAATCCACTTTAA